AGTTCGACCTTAGTCGGAGAAATACTCGACACGGCGTATTGCAGCGACGACCTGCCTACCATATCCAGGGCGTCGACCTGCACGTTTTTCTCCATTTTGCGGCTAATCTCGAAAAATAACTCAAGCATGCCTTCATCGAAGCTTTGTTTACAGATAATGTGCAAAGGAGTTAGTCCCTTATCATCGCTCAAGTTTGGGTCCGCGCCGTTTTCCAACAGAAATTGGACCAATTTTTTAAGTTCGTGTTCAATGGCCCAGTGCAACGGTGTGTTTCCGTTCCAATCCCGAGCGTCGATCCGAATTTCCTTGCGATTCTCGCGGCAGAGCTCAAAGAACCGCTCGGCCAAATCGTCATCTTGCGCTCTCTGACAAATGATGTGCAAAGAAGTCAAACCATGTTTACCGGTTGAGTTTGGATCGGCGTCGCGCGCCAAAAGCAACTCGGCCAGATTACGATAACCGTGTCTCAAAGCCAACTGCAGCGGGCGATCGCTGATCGCGCAGCCCCACTCGGCAGGAGCGAGGCAATCGGGATGGAGACCTTCCGCAATAAAACGTTCTACGATGTCGATATTGCCGTGCTCACAAGCAATATGAAAATGAGTCACTCCGAACTCATCCACGTAGTTCACGTCGCGCCTGTTGTATATTTCAAAAAGATGAGAGATTATAGATGAAACATGGTATCTAGAGGCTAAGTGGAGTGGAGTGGTGCGGGGCACCATAGAGACGCCTTCATCGTCGACTCGAGATTCGTCCCTATACCCGCTGCGAGCTATGAATTGACAAATAGTTTCGCCGGGATATCTCGAGAAATTCGAAACTATCCAATTTTTACTAAATTCAACGGTTTCTGTTAGGATCAGCTCAATTTCATCTCTTGAAAAAATTTCTAAGAGGTCGGGTACTGAACCAACCCAATTGGAGATTATACCGAGAAAAGTTCGCCAAAACTCAGTAGAGTCTTCGTTCCGCACCTGTCCCCGCAAACTCTTTAATTTTTCAAGTCGGCGACGATTAGGATCGAAAGGTGTAAGCTCAATCTCGTCGTCGCTATCAGACGAATAAAATGAATCATATACCACTTGGAAAAACATTTTGTGAAAACTCACGCACACACGAAAAAATAAGTGGAAATAGTCGTTGCTGTAAAAGTGATTACACTCACCCGAAATATCTTCGCTACAGCTAAACTGTTAAAATTCACCCACGATATTTCTAGCGGTCTAAGCAGACACGAAAAAATAAGTGGAAATAGTCGTTGCTGTAAAAGTGATTACACTCACCCGAAATATCTTCGCTATATCTAAACTGTTAAAATTCACCCACGATATTTCTAGCGGTCTAAGCAGACACGAAGTGTAGCAAGCTATGTCTAAGACGATACTAACGAGATGCGAGCTCTGCTGTGTATGAAGTAGACTAATCTGTGCTTGTTAAGCCGCAGTGTTGACTCGAGCGCTACTTTATTGGTAACTTTCGGTGAAAGGGGGGAAGAGAGGAGGGGAGTCACATACGCGCGAAGCCGAGTACTCATAGCGCCAGAGCGCGAAATTCGAAATTTTAAAATTCAATACACAAAAATTCTAACGAAATATTTTTTCTTCTTTAGTATAAATCATGAGAAATATTAAAATAAATTTTTCAATGCCAAATAATAGTTATAATTTAAGGAAAAATCCGGTCGCTCGTGTCTCGTTCGCTCTCTCACCCGTATTGAAAGCTATAGAAGGTTCTTTTCTTTCCAAAACTCGCGACAGAGACATGGACCGAGATTGAGTAAAAGAGCGAGCGAGAGAGAGAGAGAAAAATAGAGAGAGAGAGAGAGAGAGAGAGAGAGAGAGAAGGAAAAAAAGAGCACGCATAGGGTCGAAACTAAAAATGAAAAGAAATAGAATCGGGAAAGAACTAGGGGTGTTAGAAAAGAGAGCTAGAGCGAGATAGAGAGAGAGAGAGATCTCCCCAGCTCGCCTTTCTTCAAGAAATTAGGAAAAACCCAAAAGACTGAGCTCGTAAAATTGGGAATAACCCGACAACTTTAACACGCAGTGTGTACAACAAAGGCTTTACGAGCTCAGTCTTTTGGGTTTTTCCTAATTTCTTGAACTCAGTTTTTCGGGTTTTACCGAGACTTTCACGGTCTTTCCCAATTTTTCCGTTTTACTCGAATATCCGTTAGACTGGGCTTAATAAATACATACAGAAATTTACGGATTGTCGTTAATAAACGATCTCATACGTCGCTGGATTCGAAGCAAAAAAAAAAATCTTCAATTATGCGCCTTTCCGACCCATACGCTTATCACGTTGAAGTGAACCAAGTGCACGCGTTCACGTGTGTCTCGTTAAGATCAAGGTCAAAAATCAAAACCATACATCATAAATACAAATACGCGAGTAAAAAAAAGGGCACGCACGCGACGGCGTATTATTATACACAGTTCTATATCACATCCAAGCGCGAGAAAGTCTTTTTTTCAATTAGAGTCTCGCACGCATACACACACCCCCGCAAAGATAATAATTGCAACGCATTATAATTGCACTGCGGAGAATCGTTTTTAGGCCTGTAATACCGTGTATCACATGCACGTATCATTGCGGGTCGCCCTTGACTCGCAAAACTTTTGAGGGCTGAAAAAAAAATATTCTATACGTCTCGAGTGCGAACAATCGCGTGGCCAACGGGAGTTTATATATCGCCGTATAGCGCATGCAAAGGTCGCCCGCGAAGTTGTTGGCTCCTATATGTGCCTATTATATACATGTGCGCCTCTGCAGCTCTCCTCCGCACCAACCTGTTGATACACCGACTATATCGAGCCTCTCGCCTGCTTCGTCGTTGCCTATTCGTATATATACAATTATATGTAAACGAGCTCGCTTAATTTTTTTTTATTTCTTCGTACTTTGCAACTAGTGCTCGAGAATTCGAAATAACTATATATACGTCATTGTTGTACATGCAAAGGCAGACGAGAGAGGAGCGCGTGGGAGCTCTGTATACCGAAGTATTTTTTTTTTTTACCGTACATTAGCGCACGCTCGAAGCCCCACGTTTCGACGTCGCATATAGCGGTGCACGATACGCCTTTTGAGTTTTTCACGCACCGCTAATTTTTCTTCTACGGCATAATGATGCTCGTCTACGTATTATAAGCTCGGAAAATCATATCGACTCTTTTCCTTTTTGTGTGTCGCTCGAACTTGGCGAAGAGGCGATTGGTCGAGAGCCGCGAGATCGATATCTTATACACGTATAAGTATGTGTGTGTGTGTGCATTACGCAACGAGATATTTTCTCAATGATCTGCGGTTGTGTGTGTACAGTGCATAGAACACGCCAGGAAGGAATTTAATATAAGTTTATAAAAATGTCTTCCTCGTATACGACGCGCTTATGGTTTTATATACGGCTCCGTGCTGCAGCGCTTTTATACATTTATTCTTTTTTTTTCTTTTCATTGTATCGCCGCAGCCAAGGAAGAAAGACTTTTCGCCACCGCCGTCCACGAGTTTATAACAATAATGATGATATTAAAGTAGTACAGTTCGAGCCGAGCAGTAGTGCATGCACAGTAGTCGTGCTCGCCGATAGAGAATTCTCACTCCTTGAGGAGTATATAATGCTATCCGTGCATCGTAGTTATTTTGCAATTTATATATTATATATCGTATGTGTACCAACGCCAAACACAGCTCGTCAAAGTCGAGTCGAAGTTTGCCTCGACTAGCCTGCAGTTTCTGACCCGTGGATGTGCAGCTTTTAATTATAATTGAATTCGGTGCTGCTATCGTCGTCGTCTGCAGCAGCAGCAGCAGCTCCAGCTCCAGTTGCTGCGGTTAACACAATAATAATGGTCGAATGACGTTTCGTATACTCGTGTGCATGTGTAGGTGTCATCGTTTATAACTTGGCCAACTTTATATACATCGTATACATAATGGCAATTTCCAAGCTCGAAGTGTCCGATATAACCCGTATCGCGTGTATCGGATGTTTTTTTTTCGATATTGCATAAAATTAAAAAAGCCACCCACGCAGGAACTGACTTCTGCGATTGTTTAATCGTTTGTTTCGTTAAAAAAAGGCCTCCCTGTATGGATCTCGCGTATTGATTTTTCCATGTATACGCATGTATATATTTGCACAGCTGTTTGTTGCTGATGTCATTGCGACACATATACAGATCACTGTACACAATTTATTTGCGGCGCTGTCAAAGGCAGACGAATTACAGACGTAATAAATTTTCGTACGCATGTAGTAATATATCATAGAGTACGTATTATATGCGTGAGCCAAGAGTCGAAGGCTCCGATTACATATGCACTGTTCAGAAACCGGCCCCACGCATACGCACACACATACACACCTTGTGTATATGCACACATGGAGAATCCGCAGCAGTTTCGATCGGTAATGTATTCGCATGCTTCTATGCTTATATAGTATTATATGTTGTTAACCGAGGTTGTCTAGCAAAAAAGAAGAAGAAGAAGAAGAAAAAAAGAAACAGAAGAATCATCGCGTTGAATAGTGACATCGCCTCCTGTCCATCGTATTATGCATCGCCGTCGCCGCCACACATAATAACTCCGAACTCCGAGCGACGTGCGTGAGCGATAACGATATCGTTCACCTCGTTATCAACTTTATAATTTATTACTACATTGTACATTATATGTATTATATTATGCATGAACGCGATTTGCCGTTGTGGAAACTCGACTATATATGCACAAAGCATAGCGCAGAGAGAGAGAGAGAGAGAGAAACACTCGAGTGCAACGAACTTTTCCTTTCTCTTTACCTCCGATCTTTTTTTTTTCCTCGTTCTATGCATCAAAATAAAAAAAAAAGTCTCTCGGGGCACACACGACGATAATCCTGAACGCACACGGTACACGGGGTAAAGGTAAATCGTGTATACATGTGTATAAGTGCTCAAAGGCTTAGACACGATATTACGCATAATAATAATAATGCATGTACTCACGTCGTCGAAGGGCTTCCTCGGCGCGTTGCTACTACCTCCCATGGCGATGCCTCCGACGCCACCAGACACAGCTTGAGAATTGACGGGGGCGGCCGTCGACGAGGGTGACATGCCAGCCGCGTCCAATATGTAACTGCGCTCGTTCATCGCCGCCGAGGATGGCACGGCCGACATCGTCCTTATAGTCCTATAGTCCTATAGTCCCTGATAGTAGTACTCGAGTCGAGCTCGGGTATATTATAAATGTATATTATATATCCACCCACGGTAGCAGTAGCAGTAGAAGCAGTGGAAGCAGCCGCTGATCGACCGTCTTCCGTTATCCGCGCGCGCGCGCGCGCGCTCGCCTGCCTATGTATATACGTACGAGAGAGCTTCGCTGTATACGCGTGAGAAATATATAGGAGGATCCTTCCTGTATTATATTTTTATTTTCTGATTTTATCGTTGTTATAATCTATGTAAAGTCTGTTTTTATTATTATTATTATTATTATTGTTGTTGTCCAGCTGTGCAGTTCAACCCGTATACACGATATAATAAACTAAATAATAAAATGGAGTATCGTTGTTGTTGCTACTCCTGCTGCTCTCCGCACGAGCTACACTACGCGCGCACGAACGGCTGCTCTGTCACTGTACACTCTATGTGCAAGTACACAACTACACGCATATTCGCGCACAATATAGATAGAGGTATATATATGTGTATGAAGCGAGAGGAGGCAGAGGAGAGAAAAAGGAGGAGGTGGGTGGGGAGGGCTCGAGACTCGGAGTTGAAAGTCGAGCGCAGAAGCGGAGATCCGAGACTGTGTGCCCGGCGCGGCCCCGTGTGCGTATATTTATTATACAGCAGCGATGATCGAGCTTTTCGTTTCTATTCGGCTTCGCGAGTACGTTAATGGTCGATTCTTTCGGTGATGAGTCAAAAAAGTGTCGAATGCATTTTGTCAGTGGGGTTTTATAAAATTGTTTTTGGTTTACTTATGAAATAGCAGAGATTAGCTTTATAGATGTTATAGATACTTTCGAGTTTTTCATATCTGTTAAAATTGTTGAAATATCAATTGACATTCTAAGAGAGCTATAGGGGGATTTTTCGGAGTCTAAGGTGCGAATCAACTGTATAGAAACAAGCTTCTTCAAACAATTGGAAATAGTTTTTTTATAATAATGATATAGACAATTTTCTACAAAAACAACTCTTCAGCACTTTTTCGTACAAGTCTCTCCAAGATGAACTAACAATTTTTAACAAATCTTGAATTAATGATCATGAATTTCGGAAAAATATCGACTTTGAGCCTACGAAAAAGAGTAATACACGGTCCCGAAAATTCTAATAAATTTTGGATAAATTTTTTATCATCAGAAGCAACAAGTTTTTTATTTTACAGAAAATCTTTTTTTTTTAGCCACTTGATTTGTCCGAGAATCCACCATATATAAATATTATATACACGCGTAAATGAGCGAGTGTGTATATGTGTGCGTAAGTTTTAACGCCAGGCTCCTCGTTTTCGCTCTCGTGGGCGCGCATTTTATTGATCGATCACCTCTGCCGCCTCCGTCGCGGCGCACAGCCCAAAGCTCGACAGATTCTTTTTCATTTCGTACACCAGTGTGTAAGTATACGTGTATGTAGGAGTATGCATGTGTGTGTGCAAATATGATACATGCGTGACGCCGGACGCGACGTGTGACACGTGTTACTGCTGCTGCTGCTGCTGCTGCTGCTGAGATCGAGACGTATTTTCACGTGCAAGATATCGATTTCTCATTCGAACAGCGGATCGATATTACGAGATGAATTCGAGAGTCTAGCAGCAGCGGTAGCTTTTTTGTGTATCGATGTGCGATTTGACAGTTCTCGAGTGACAAGTGGTCGTTGTCGCGCGCAATTTTTGTATTTTCCCGCACTCTGACTAGCAGACGCAGGAGGAGGAGGCTGGAGGTCTCGGCGGTCTCGCGAACTCGAGTTTCGGAAATCATCCAACAGAGCGAGCGAGCGAACGGTATCCACACGGCCAACTGCTGCGTGTGTATATAATAATAATGCTGCCGTGCGTGACGTATTCTGCATTTTGACTTACCGAATCAAAACACAGCTGGTTGCGCGGGGATCGAAAAAATGATCTCGCCGCGGCGATGAGATGAATCTTCATTACGGTTGATATCGGTGTGTCTGTGTGTGCGCTCTTAACAATAAACAACCGTGTGTCTGTGTGTGTGCGTGTGCGTGAGTGCAGAGCAGCAGCATGAGTGAGACAACGTCGCGCGAGGACGTCGTCGTCAACGACTACGACAACGACGACGGCGACAACAACGAGGAGGAGCAGCCGATGCCGATGCCCCAGGATCTGGAGGACGACCTCGTGCAGGACGTGCTCAAGACCGGCACTGATCTCAGGGAGTACTCGGCCGAGATCGAGAGGCAGCTGACCGACGCCGAGAACAGCACCATCGAGAGCATCGTCAAGGAGGCCGAGAACATCGCCCTGCTGCACACTCAAGTCACAGAGTGCGATTCCATCTTGGAGGTTACTATATATCTGTCAACTATTTTTTGCAGTCGATTTCAGTTTTAGGCAATGTTGTATTTATGTGTGTGTGTTGATTGAATTGCAGCAAATGGAGTCCATGCTGCTGGGCTTTCAGTCGAGCTTGGGTAGCATCAGCGAGGAGATCCTGTCGCTGCAAAAAAAATCCATAACCATGAGCCAGCAGCTGACCAATAGACAGATGATTCGTGCACCGCTCAGCCAATTCATCGAGGACATGACCGTATCCGACAGCCTCATAAAGTGAGTGTTTTCAGCTCATAGGCATTTGAAATATATTTCATTTTATCCTATCGATTGCTTGCAGAGGTATCATGGATGCACCGGTTACCGAGACAGAGTTCACGTCCAATCTTGAGATTCTCAATCACAAGATCAACTTTATGAAGGAGCAGAGCTTCAAAGAGACCAAAGCTTGCTTCGACGTGAAGGATACTTTGGAGAAGTTGAAGCTCAAAGCTATTGCCAAAATAAGAAGCTATCTTCTGGAGCAGATTTATAAATTCAGAAAACCAATGACTAATTTTCAAGTGCCTCAAAATAATATGCTGAAACATAAACTGTTCTTCGAATTTATCCTAGCCAACGAAAGAAACATTGCGGAAGAAATTTGCGCAGAGTACATCGATACTATGAGCAAAATTTATTACTCTTACTTCAAATCCTACTGTTCTAGACTGAAAAAACTGCAGGTAAAAATTGCTCTTGATACAAATGTCGGATTGAAAAATGTTTCAATATTTATTTGTCTTTTATTTTTAGTTTGATGAGAATCCATCAAAAGATGACTTAATGGGAGTTGAAGATACAGCCAGCAGAGGCTTATTTCACAAATCCCACTTGAAGCATCGAGGAACAGTATTTTCTATAGGTGCTAGAGGAGAAGTTTTATCAACACAATTAGAATTACCAATTATAGTTCCACATACCGCATCTAAAACAAAATATCATTATGAAGCTCTATTCAGAAGTGAGCAATATGCCCTCGTTGATAATGCATGCAGAGAGTACTTATTTCTTGTTGAATTTTTCAAAGTCAGAGGATCCCAAGCCCTAGAAATATTTAATCAAGTTGGTATCATTTTCTTTGATTTATGTTATATGAATTCAATTTTATATTAATTTTTATACCTAATTGACAGGTAACAGGAAAAACATTAAATTTGCTGAAAAAAAATCTACAATCATTTGTTGATGACAGTTATGACGCCATTGCTTTATTTTTGTGTTTACAACTTGTTATGAGGTATCAATTAATGTGCCACAAACGTGCCGTACCAGCACTGGACAAGTATTGGGACCAGATGACAGCAACCATTTGGCCTAGGTAAGAACTTGATTGTTTTGATGCTTACGAGTACGTTAAAAATTTTTTCTCTTATATTTCAATGATTCTTTGCAGATTTGAATATGTATTCAGGATGAATATCCAAAGTATTAAAGAATGTGATCCCATGAAGTTTCCTGCCAGAGAGACAGGGCCTCACTATGTAATAAAAATTTTTCATGCACTTTTTGATTTCATTATAAAATCATTGAAAACTAATCGTAAGAATTTTTTAGATTACTAGAAGATATGCAGAATTTAGTGCAGCTATGATTGGCGTTGGAGAGGGTTTCCCATGCGAAGGTGCTACACAATTATTAGCAGAACTACGTGAAGCTGTGCAATGTTTCCTATTAAGAATGGCTGCTATTTTTCCTCAAAGAATACAGCAACTTATTTTTCTCATTAACAATTATGACTTGGTTCTTGGTGTGCTGATGGTAAAGAAAATTTCTACATTATCCAAAGTCAATAATTACTAATTGCTATAGCAAAATTACCATATAAATAATTGTAAATCCAATAGGAGAGAACGAGAGACAACTCGAAAGAAGCAGAGAGTTTCAAAGAGCAACTGAACGCCAGATCGACCGAGTACGTTGAAGAGATCTTGAGTCCGCACTTCGGCGGCATCATACAGCTCGTAAAGGAATTCGAGGCTCTCATCGAGAAAGGCCAAGCGGAGGATCTGAAGAGGCAAGAGAGCAAAGCCCTGTCGCTGGTGCAATCCTTCACCAACAACTGGAAGCGAGCACTGGAGGAGATCAATCGCGACGTGCTCAAGTCTTTCCCGAGTCTCATCTTGGGCACGTCCCTCGTTCAGCGCGCCATGACGCAGCTCGTCCAGTATTACCACAGGTTTCACAAAATTCTGCCCGCCAACGTGCGGCCGCAATTGACCAACATCCACCACATAATGATCGAAATTAAAAAATACAAAACGAGCTACTAATTTTTCGTAAAAAACGAATCGTAAACTATTACTGTTAAACCACTGCAACTCGACGTTTTACGTTTTTCAAAGATCTTATTTATTAATTGTACATAAAAAGAAGAAGGCGAGCACGATTGATTGCAATGTTAAAATTTGTGAAAGTATCGGTTGAAAAATTAATTTCCGACGTTAAATACCGACGTAAAAACGATAGGCTCTTAGTTTTTATACTCGCAAAGTTAAGATTTAGAATAATCTCTCGCTGAGCGGCGTTGATTTGATATAAAATGTATATGTAAATACCAGCGTCTTCAATATATTATATTATATTATATTATATTATATTATATTATATACATTAAGTATAATGGGTGAATTGTAACGTGAAGGCCGTTTTATGGCTATTTTCACGCTAAATAAAACCAAGAGTAAAAATTAATAAAAAAAAAGATTCTGTACACTTTATTTATAAAATAATACACATAAAATTTCCATTAAATCTACGATGGGTGTGTGTTTGTGTGTAATCTTGTGTGTTTATGTGTGTCTGTAAGATGCGTGTGAATGTTTGTTCATGTTTATTTATTTTTTTCATTATTATTTTTCAAGTAAGTGTGTTACATACGAATAAAAATAGCACACACGCGCGCGCGTGTTTCTCTGTCTGTGTATCTCTTTCGCGAATTAAAAAAAAAAAAAGTAAAATTGCACGCGCGCGCGTGCCTCCGTACAATGAAAATTATATTATCGTAATTTTATTTAAAAACGATTACGGTTAGAGGTTTGTAATACTAATGAGGTAAATCAATCGAGAAAACGCTATGCCGGATTTTCTTTTCTCTCTCTCTTTCTTTCTTTTTTCTCTCTTTTCTCAATTGCGTCTACACGCGCGCGTATACTGCTGCTCGTTGCGCGTTGCGTGCGTGCGCGCGTCTTGTAACATCCTGTATATGGCATTATGACGTACATTTATATATATTTTATTTCATCGCCGCAACCCAATTTTCTCTATTATATTTAATCCTTTTGCTTTCCTCCTCCGACTTCTCGGACACGTACTACAATACGTATATAAAACACATAGCCACGACAAAGGCTTTTTCGTTGTGTGTGATCGTTTGTTTGTTTGTTTTTTCTTCTCTCTCGCTTAATTATAATTTTTTTCTCTTTTTTCTACACGATTTTTTGTCTCTTCGATGTTGATGGTGGTTGGTAGTGCTGCTGTCGTAGTTGCTGCTGCCCACACTCACATAACGGTGTCGATGGCGTGCAGTACCCCATTCGTCGCCGGCACGTTGTACGTGATTATGTGTCCTTCGTTAACTCTAATGCGACCTGTGTGTCATGAGCGCAAAAACAAACAGAGAGAAAAACAATTATAATAATATACATACACACACATAGACGTGGGTAAAAGTTTTTTGCTGATTTTATAATCTAAACCCGTCTTTCGGTGAAAATGTATAATGAAATCTTTCATTTCTTCTCTCTTTCTTTTCATTTCTTTTTTTATAAAGATCGTGCTCAACGACTCGGTAAATAAAAAAAAGAAAAATTGAACGGATTTATTAATTAAAAGCCATAAACAAAACTGCAATGTCTTCGAAGCTGGCGTACCATGAAAGTGTATAAACTGCGCTCCCCCATCCGCGAGCCTTGCGCGCGTTTAATGTATCGTGGAAAACGCGCCGCGCGCGCGCGTTCATAGATAAATCGCCACCACGCGCGCGCGCGGCTTATAACACTTTCTTTCGTGATTTAAGCGCCGATTAAAAATTACGTGTATACGGCACGTATTTATTTATATTTATTTCGTGGATTTTTCACCGAGCTTTTCGTCGATTGCGACGGTGCAGCAGCAGCAGTAGCTGCTGCCGAGCACGTTTGAGAGAATTTCCCTTTCGCCCCGCGGTCAGGGCATGGCCCAACACAACACAACAACGAGGTCTTTCTCTCTCTATATTCGTGGTTCCAGCCTAAGATTTTATCGAATCGCCGTGCACACGCTGAGGGCTACATATTCATGAGCGACGCCCGCGCGAGCAAGTAGGTTGATTGTTAGTTCCAGTCCGTTGCAGTCTCCGACGCGCGAGGCAGCAACCGATTCGTTTCGCGAGAGGTACGCCCGACACGGACAGACCGAGAGAGAAAGAGAGGTATTATATAGCGTTTATTTTTTTTTCTCTCTCTCTACTCCTGGAAAAGTCCACAACGATCGCGGAAGAATCCCCGCGAAATTTTTTACTCGTACTTATAAATCGTCGTCGCTTTGTTTATTATATTCTCTCTCGGATCGATTGCATACCGTTCGCCGAATATGCGCCGACTCACCGCCCGTAATGGACACACAACACCGATTACGCGAGGATAAATTTCGTGTATACGAGAGTTACTGCATCGTCGTTGTGCCGAATCGTTTCCATGTTCTCTTTTTTTTTTTTGAAAAACCCCAAGCGCGATTACAAAATTCCCAAAGCGATTTACTTAATCCCAAACAAATTGCTCACGCACGATTTGTTCGGTGGCCGAGCCGCGATCGGCCTATACAAATAGCAAAAATACACTACTACTATTACCTATAAATAAGTCGATTCCAGCATCCGCGCGTGGCGCTCGTTAAATCGCGCGCGCGCGCTTACTCACGATGAGAGAAAAAAAACGAACGATCGATCGATTAATTGTCAAAGCTCTCCTCGGCGGAGAACCGGTATTATATGAACGGATCGGCAAAAGTGAGAGTGTGTAACGATTACCGATCGGCGCAACTTCCGGAAGATATGCCAATTTTTTCCCTTTCGTCGCGAGACATCGTCCGTCTCTTTTATGAATCAGCCCGATAAATTATTATACATCGTTTATATAATTGGGTTATTCTCTCGTCGCTTTCGAACAATAGGCGCTATACACTCTCGTTCTCGGCGCGGGACATAAAACTCCGCAGCTCGCGGAAAAGAAGAGGAAAAATTTAAACTTATATACTCGTAAATCCCCGACTAAACCGACTTGACATTAAACACGTGCGCAGTTTAACTTTAATTTTTTTCTCTCTCTCTCTCTCTCTCTCTCTACTTTTTTTGCGTCCACCTCTTTGTTTTTTTACTTCTCTTTAAGCGATATACGAGCGTCTGTGTTTGTGTATACAGTCAATTTGCCCCAACCGTCTCGTAAAATGTTTAAAGCCTCGGCTCGGAACATATAAAAATCGTGATTTGTTTAGCGCCGGCTAAAAATACACGCGAAACCAATCCTCTCGCTCGCTGGCGCGTCTGCGGTACACATAATATAACGTGTAATGTAATATAAGGTATACGTATATAATCCATCGCTCTCCGCGCGGCACAAAAACATCATTTGGTAATAATTAATCAGCGGGTTCGAATAAGGGACGCGCGCTCGCAGCAACAAAAAATCTCAATTAGACCGAGTAGTAACTCTTATAACGCAATATAATAGAGATCTGGGGCCTCGCGAATAGTCGCGCAAAAACTTAACACCGATAGAAAGCTCCCCCCCGTGTGCTCGATGATCGTTTGTTAGAAGCTGCGGTTGTGCGGCTCACATATATAAAATATATAATATAAGGATCATTGCGACACTGTAAATCGTAACGTAGAAAACGAGCAGCGAAAATTCCGATAAATAATCTGGGCAAAATTGACGAAAATGCCACGAAAATACGAAAGGTAAATATCTCGGCTGAATGGGCTTCGGTTTTCATGCGCGGCGTTACATAAATATATAGTCCGGCCGCGCGTGCAGCGAGTTAATAGAATAATAATAAGGAAAGGCTCGGCGCCGAGCGACGTATAGGCCTTTTTTTTTCTTGGCAGCCCCATTGTCTGTGTATCCATGGGAAAAACGACCGCAGCTCCGGTCCCCGTATATTTTATAATATATATAATACGAATACGGTGTCACTCCGTCTGTCTCTCTTACAGCTATAAATAAATAAATAAATATCGCGTAACATCCTTACCTCCCGTCTTCTGTATCTGGAGCGGCACCTGATGCCTCAGCGTCTCCTTCTGATGGTAGTACCTCATGCCGGCCGTGTACAGAGTGGTGGGTATCACGTGCCTCAGGACGATCTCCTTGGCCGCCTCGGGGCCGTCCTGCTCCTGCCAGACGGGCGCCCCCCCGTTCTTGGCGCGCGCCTGCTCGAACGCCTGATCCGTCGGCGCGAACACGGTGAAGGTCTTGGAGCTCTGCAGGGTCTCCTCCATGCCCGAGGCGCGCAGCAGCTTGAGGAAGTCCTGGAAGCGTCGCTCGCGATCAGCCTGCAGGGTCTGGACGAGATCGCCCACGGGCAGCGGGAACATGACCCGGTCGATGGCGTGGGCCAGACCCTGGGGTATCTCGACGTCGCGCTTGTTGGGCGCCACGCGGGCTCCGTTGATCGTCGTCACCTGTGCGCGCAGACAGACGGACAATTAAGGATCGTTGCTTTATTCTCATTCAATTAACACTCGGTTTTATGCTTATTGTTGTTGCTGTTGTTGTCGTTGTTATTGTTATTATAAGCGATTGTCATTTAATTTAACGATTGGACGCGATTGTCTGCAAAAAGTCAACCGCACAATGCAACGGCTGCGGCGGTATATGGCTGCGGTATATATGAATTGCGCAATCGCCTCTATGCTGCAGTCCTTTAATTGAGCGCCTTAGATGTGTTCGAAGACTTACGAAAGCTTTTCGTTTTATGTGCATTATATGTGGCTGCTGTGCCGAATAAGTTCAATTGAAAAAAAATGAATTATATTTTTTTGATAATTAATAAGCAGCTGGCGAAGCTTCTCCATGATTATTTGCGAGTACAAACTGAAATAGAATGAAAACACAATGTGCAATCGAAAATCGAGGAAAATTAATGGAATCATTTTTCTATTTTTTATTTTATTAATTAATTAATAAAATAAATTATTATTATTAATATCAAAATTATTGATTAATATCAAAAAATGACTTGCGTTTTTCGTGTATTTTTAATTTATGAATTATGCATCGTTGTTAATTATGAATTGTCCGAACTATAAGATTATATTTTTTTTTGAAATAAGTTATCACAATAAAAATTATTATTACAAACACTGACTTTTTGCATTTTAATGCCTGAAAATTAATATTTCTATAGGTATTTTATTCGACCTAATTTTATTCGACTATTTCAACATTTTCATTCGCGCTATTAATTTTTGATGTGTGTTCAGATAGCATGGGTCTTGATAGGGTATTGTGTTAATAAATATTCATTTAATAATTTATTCTTTAAATTCATTTATTTGAATGATATAGAAAATGTGGCCGCCAAACAAATGCCCTACAAATCATCTTCTTCACACTATTTACATTGATTATTTTCACCATTCAATTTTTACATTTTTTAATCCATCTTTTCTTTACTGTTAGTCGCCAAGCAAATATTGCACAAATCTTTGTTCGTTAGACTTTTGATAATCATGTCACAGCACTCAATCGGCAGCCGACGGTGTATCAAGTCCCAGAGAGGATATACCGCCCGACGCCAGAAGAATCCTCTCGCTACTTTCTCGCACAGATGCAAAGCGCAAACCTCCTGATACTTTTCGGACATTCCACTGAAAGGATTCGATCTTGCAAACTTATAGTATTCATCATAAGTGACTATTTTCTCCGCCTCTTTGGGTCCCAATTGTAGTAGGTCGTGAAGCGACGGATTGGGACCTTCTTCGATCTCAATCTTTTCCTTCTTTTCCTTCTCATCGTCGTCATCGTCATCGTCATCGGCAGGTTGTCTGACCTTCATCTCTTTCGCTTGGCTCGTGAATTCTTTATCGTCTTTTAGCAATTGTAAAAGATCCGCTGACGATTCCTCGAAAAAGTTGTACTTGGCGAAGAGTTTCATGATCTTCAGAACGTCGCTATCGTCCAACTCGTATCCTCTTATCTGAAGGCTCTCGACGCAGGCCAGCAGACTAGACGCTGCCTCGAATTTAACAATATTTCCGTCGCGCAAATTTACAAAACACTCCTCGAAATGACTCTCGGTAGGAAAAACGAACTTGGACAGATCGGCACCACGATCTAAGATTACATCGATATTGTTCGGCGCAGCATGCGCGACTGCCCATTGAAGCGGTGTCCGACCCAACTTGTCCAAGGGGTCGATCTCGACGACCTGATTCAACTTGTCGTTGACCTTGAAAAATAACTTGGCCAAACCGTCTACGTCTACCCGAGCAACGAAATGGAGGGGAGTCGATCCTTCTGCATTGGCCAAATTCGGACCAGCGCCTCTTTTGAGCAGCACTTCGGACAACTTCTTGTAGCCGTTGATCAGAGCCAAGTGCAACGATGTGTAACCCTCTTGGTCTTGGGCGTTTATCTTTACCATCTGCTGTTTTTCATCGTTGATCGTTAAAAACAACTCCACCAAGGCATTATTATCATAGTCGTAGTCGTCATCATCGTCGTCTTCGTCATTGCTGATAGAGATAATATGCAAAGGAGTCCGTCCATCTTCGTTGACCAGTTTCGGATCCGCGCCTCTCCTCAGTAGTAACTCAATCAAGTTTCTGTCGGGTTTTTCCATTGCCAAGTGCAACGGCGTGTTGCCATAATTGTCTTGGACGTTCATCTGCACCAACTGTTCTTTTTCGTCGTTGATCCTGAAAAACAACTCTGCCAAGGCATAAGGATTACAGACTACGCCATCGTGACCGTCGTCGTCGTCGTCGTCATCGTGGTATTTGCTACATATTTGATGCAAAGGAGTCCTTCCCTTCTCGTTGACAATGTTCGGATCCAAGCCTCGCCTCAGTAGCAATTCGATGGCTTTTTTCTTGCCATAGTCCAAGGCGACGTGCAGTGGAGTTCTGCCCTTCTTGTCCCGGGCATCGATTCGCAGCAGCTGGTTCAATTCATCGTTGATCTTGAAAAACCATTCCGCCAAGCCTTCGTCATCGTCGTCGTTGTTTCTCTTGCATACGAGGTGTAAAGGAGTCCATCCTTTACTGTCGATTATATTTGGATCGGCGCCATTTCTCAGCAGTAATTCGGCCGCCTCTTTGTCGCCGTAGTATAAAACTATCCAAAGGGGCGAATGAAATTTAGGATGCACAATATTGGGACTGTGACCGAACTCGAGGAATTTCTGGATGGCGACTTTGTAACCTGCCCAGCAGGCGACATGCAAATGTGTGAGACCCGACTCGTCTGCGTAATTCACATCGTATCTGTCGTAGATTTCAAAAAGCTCACAGACACACTCGATTCTCCCCTCCATAAAACTGCGATGCAACAGCGTTGTGCGACGCGACGATGGCTTGTCGTCTCCGTTGATTTCCGTCGGCTCGTCTCTGTAGCCGGTAAAAGCTATAAAACTGATGATTAATTTTCCTGGGGTACTAACATCCACCATAGTTAAAGTAAGGGAATCGCAGAGAAGACGTTCGATTTCTTCGGGCCGAAAAACGTCCCGGATGTTGGGAAATCGGCCCTGCCAATCATCGATCAGAGGATGAAGATTACGGAGAAACTCGTATCGCTCTTCTAGGCTCTCCCAATTATTGGGACGTCGCAAGTCCTCCAGTTTTGCAAGGCTTACTTCGCCAAGGGGCTCTGTGTTCTCGCATTCGCAGACGTGGCTTTCGTGGTTGGACATCGTTTTACACACCAACAAACAAACACAATCACTTATAATTTCAAGATATTAATTAATTTTTTTCACAAGAATTAGTTGCAACAGTCGATTAGATCTTTTTAGCTCGATGTTCACGTTGGGGCGCCGTAGCTTGTACTGACTGTTTTCGTGTTCAACCGTCTATATTTCAGAAACTGAAGAGCACGTGGCACTATAAGGCTTTTTCACAGTCGTCAGTGACGGTCAAAAATCGACCAGCTGATTTGACAGGAGGCCAAACAAAGCGACCGCCCGTATACTTTACATGTTAAAGTTGGTTGGTAAAAGTAATTATAATTAGTTTAACGCTCAGTAAAAAAATAAACAAAAAATATCTGGAGAAAGCGGAAATCCTTGTGTATCGAAGTATCGAATCGGTTTTAGTTAAAGTCTTTAGTTTGTAAATAAAAAAACATTGAAATTTCGGCTTTTTTGTCTGTGATATTGTCAATAAACTCTAATAAAATAGTTATTAAAAGTGGTTTTTTGGGTTGCAATATAAACTCTCCAGCGGGGAAATTTTTATTCTTTCAAATTACCAACGAAAAACAAAAAACAATCGTAACTTCGAAAAATTAAGAAAATGATCTCGCAATTGTCTTCTAACTCAAGTCTGCTATTGGTGGAAAGATAATATTCTTAATTGCGATTGTTTCTTAGTTTTTCATTGGTAATTTGAAAGAATGAACAATTCTCCGCTTGAGGGTTTGTATTTCAACCCAAAAAACCACTTTTAATAACTACTTTATTAGAGTTTATTGACAATATCGCAGACAAAAAAGCCGAAATTTCAATGTTTTTTTATTTACAATCTAAAGACTTTAACTAAAAACCGCTTCGATATTTCGATACACAAGGATTTCTGCTTTCTCCAGATATTTTTTGTTTATTTTTTAACGAAGTGGCTATTCAGGGGAAAATCGGGCACGAAATCTTTTTCGTAGACGAAATATTTAATGTAAAACTCAGGAAATCGGAAATTTTCGTGTACGAAAATTGAAACTTACGGGATAAGTGCATCGACGTAATTTTCCGGAAAATTTTTCGTGTACGAAAATTTAAATTTCCAGGATAAGTTCATCGACGTAATTTTTCGGAAAAATTTTCAAAATTTTTCAATTCAATTTTCAAAATTTTTCGGAAAAATCATGGACAAAATTTTTCTTCTCACAAAGATGACAAGATGATGCCGCGACGTACAACCTATGAAGAGAGAAATTTAAAGAGAGTAATAGAGAATGGTTTTTATCAGGATTTTCGAGTGCACCTGGTGAAAATTGTTCGTAGGTGACTTGAAATTTTTCAAAATATTTTCGTTCACGAAATTTTTCAATACCCAAATATATCAAAATATAATAATTGTTGTTTACAAATTTTTTTCTATACGATATTTTTCAACAACAATCGTTATATTTCGATATATTTGGGTAGGGTAAACTGCCCAGTTTCTGACCACCTACCAGTTAATGACTACTAGCTGAATAATTACTTATAAATTGAATATGCGAATTTTAATCTAATTAATAATGTTTGTCCAATATTGAACAATGTTATACCTACAGTTTGATCCAACTTTCGATCCATATAAATTATATTAAGGAGGTCTGTACCCCACATTTTTAACCTACAAAGTCGAAAAATTTGATTAATTTATATCTTTTTTTCCAAATCGAAAATTGAAAAACGGCTCTATGGGAACCTTCATTTTGTTGCTATGAATAGCTGGTAAAAATTTGAGTTTATTCCACTGACCAGACTTCTCGGAAAACATGTTTGAAAATTTCAAGCCGGAGAAAGGGGTGTAAGTTTCAAACACGTTTTCCGGGAAATGTGGTCGGTGGAATGAGCCAAAATTTTTACCAGCTATTGAGAGCAACAAGATGAAGTTTCCCATAGAGCCGTTTTTTGATATTCGATTTAGAAAAAAATAAATAAGGCCGATTCTCTGTGAAATCGAATGGCCAAAAAAAATTTTTTTTTGCAAATATGAAAAACTTGTTGTTTTCGATGTCAGATTTGTCCATAAAAATTTTTAGAAAAATTGGGGGCCTATTTTTTACCTTTTTTGCATGTTTTTCGCCACACATTGTTGTCTACATTGCGTTAAACTTTAAGACCCATTACAAAACTTTATCAGGCATTAGTTGACATGTTTGGGAAGCTTTTTACATAGTTTAGGAAATGAAAGTCCGGTTCGAACTCGATTAGATTTCATCATTTATGTCCCTTTGGCAGTTTTTTTGCTTTACACTTACCTAGATTGTTTCAATCACTTTGGCATATTTTTTTTCTGAAAATTTGGACAATTTCCAACAAAAAAGTTGCTGGGCACTTTTACTTTTGAATCATTCTACCCTGATCCAGGAATTATTTAAATATTTGTGATTTTTCATGAATTTCAAAAAAAACCCTAAAATGACCAACTTTGGGCCTCTGAAAAAGTGTCATAGAAGGCCCCAATTTTTCTAAAATTTTTTTGGGACAAATCTGTCATGAAATACAACAAGTGTTTCATATTTGCAGAAAAAAATTTTTTTTGACCATTCGATTTCACAGAGAATGAGCCATAAATAAAACAAATTTTTCGACTCTGTGGGGTACAGACCACCTGAAGTAACTGTGCCCTGACTTATACAATTATTTTGACTTCACCTCTTGCAGATTTGCAGATAAAAATACTCGACATCCAGCGGTAAATTATTGAAGTAGAATTATCGATTTAAACTAGTTGATAACTAGTCTACACTCGTGAAAACAATTATATTTTCACTTTCAGATCATTTAAAATGAGCTCAATACTTTGAACGTAATCTTAACTGAAAAATCGCCAAAAACGAACCAATCAATCATTAGGCCACCATCCTACGTGAGCCAAATTGTACTTGGGTCATAAAAAAATGAAAAATTGTTCTCATATATATTTTTGATAGCTTTTAAGCTACGACGGTGTAACAAATTCCTATAGTAAATACAACAATAACAACAACATCAACAACGAAAAAATGAAAATCGTTATACGATATATGTAGATACAACTGTACGCACCCTGATGTCGTTCCACTCGTGGTCGTGCATGGAGTAGACGTTGACGCGCAGCTGGGTGCCGGCCAGGCTCACGCCCGTCATCTCGTCCTGCAGGCTCTCGATGCGGAACGCGCCCGGCACCACGTGATGCAGCAGCAACTGTCAAATCATTCGTTCGTTTAATTTTTTGCTCCTCAGTTACATCGCGATATACTTTTTGAAAGATTAAAACGATCGTGTCGCTCTCTTACCCCGCTCAGCAGTCTGGGATTGTCGCGGAACTTCTGCTCGGCCTTCTCGGGCCCGCCGAGCTGCACCAGCAGCGTGCGGAACGCCTTGTCCGTCGGCACGAATATCGTGTACGGGCCTGCGTGTGCACAAAGTAAAGTCAAACAATTAGAAGATACCGATATATCAGTCGGATTACATATCATGCATAATCGTCGCGCGGCGCATGGCAAATCACGCAGTAAAATATATAGCAACGCCGCAGTTCTAGTTCTCTATTTAATAACACGATCTATATATATCCTACACATCGATTATCTCGGTCTGGCAGCGGCAGGAGAGCCCCCCGCACGTTCCGCGCAGGTAGATATATACCACGTATTATTATTACCTGCGCGAGCGAAGTGCGGTAGCAACTCTAATGCTCCCCCATTTGATTCGCGGGCTTCTCTAATTGTGCCTCGGCATCTGTTGCAGCAGCAGCGTGGCATGAGATTGGAAGCAATTGTTGCTTATATCGCCGCATTATTATCGCTCTCGACAGACACACAGACACACAGAGATATATATTGAATTACATTTTATCAGATCAGCGCGCGGCTATTATACCGGCAGCTCGACGCGGGCAATTAGGCTGTACGGAGTCAATTCAATTTTCTTCGACGCTACGGCGGCGGCGGCGGCGTTGATGGCCCAAAAAAAAACGAGCTCGCACGCGAGAGACGTGCCGATTTATATTTTATAATATTATGTAAAGTGAATCGAGAGCTTAATCTCTCTTTCGGGTTTAAATTACAATAATAACGTTATAGGTACACCGTATAAGAGATCGCGTGTATAATAATGTGTACAGTGCAACGACGTGCATGATATCGCGCGCGCGCGTGTGTGTGTGCGTTAAAAGTGCTAATCAATCCGGACGTATCGAGGCAGCAGCGAACAGACACGTATACGGCTAATTAGATTGCGCGAAAATCCAAAGTAGCTACCAGTGTATAGCAGTAGCCGCCGCGTATATATATATAGATCCGCGCGTGCACTCGTGTGGCAATGGCAAAGTGTAAGAGAGAAAGAGAGAAAGAAAACCTGACGAAACTTCCCTTTCGTATATCCCAGTGTGTGCGCGCAGTGCAGTAATAGCGCGTGAGAACGCGGCGGAAGCCTATAATATAAGCCAAGATACACACTCACACACACACACACACATAGCTATATACATACATATCGACGATAATAATCGATGCACGAGTTAATAACGTATACGTGCTGCTTAATGCACGCAGCAACAGCACGTGGCTGCGGCAGTATACCAACCGTGATCGTCGAATAAAAATCCCTTTTATTCATTTCGACTTTTTGCGTGGGCCCATACCATATATATATGCGTATACCATCGAAGTAGAATAATGTTTTGATCTTTTTTTTCGCGGGGGGTAGGGTCATTGTCGTACTCGTTTATGGGACTTGTGCGATTCATTCAATTATATAGCGTACATAGGCTCTAATTAGCCGCGCGCACTTTACGATACTTTACGTACTCGGTGGACCCTTTAAAACTTTATAACACGTATACATTTATACTTTCTCTCTCTCTCGCTGTACTGAGCCCACATATATCGCACGCGAACAATGACAAAAGCCAGTTTATATTATAAAAGTTAGCCGCTACCGTTTTATAATATTGCTATTTTAGGCGCGCGCGCGCGCATCGGCTTTTATTGTACGATATCGAAATTTCGAGACTTGCATTATAGCTACACATGTGTGATACATTTATGCATTCTCTCTCTCTAGCTAGCTAACTCGAGTTTATAATTTTATTCGGCCGATTTCTTCTGTACACGGCGAAACAATGATAATGCGCGACTAATACAGAGTGTACGTAGTTTTTTAATGCAAGTAGTTTTTCAGTAGCCAAAGATACTATCGTGAATGTAAACACACACTCACGCGAGAGAGAGAGAGAGATATGTATAACAACCGATTTATACCGATCCCCGCATTAAATATACATCTAAGGTCACTGTCCCTATTTTTGCTCGATGATTAGTATACAAAAAAAATTCTTATACACCAGAGAGGTAGAGTTATACACCAATTTTTCCCTTATGCTATTTTTATAATGTAAAGTGCAGTTTCAAGACAATCTACCTTTACTATATTAAAATTACACCTTTGAGCTATCCAAAATGTGAAAAAATATCCAGGATCTATAATCTAAAAATAGCTTATTTATAATATTTTAGCATTTTTGCACTGTGCGCTGGTTCAGACCAGAATTTTTATGGTAGAGAACTATAGTATGAACCAAAATCTTTGGAAATACGCTCTTCATGAATTGAGTTTTGTGGAATTTAGATTAAAGTTATTGAAAAGTTTGTAAGTCGACAAATGTAATCAAAAGCAAAAAATAAGAAAATTTATTGATCCTTTTGAGCTCATATGGAATAATAGAAATGATATAAAGGTTTAAATCAAAATTCCACAAAACTCAATCCATAAAGAGCGTATTTCCAAAGATTTTGGTTCATACTATAGTTCTCTACCATGAAAACTCTGCTCTGAATCTTGCGCACAGTGTCAAAAGTGCTAAAATAACAAAAATAAGCTATTTTTATATGCAAAGGCCTCAAAACTGCACTTTATGAAATAAAATTGAAGTAAGGGAAAAAATTGGTGTATAAGTTCCCTTACATACTGGTATCGATTTATGATGTTACGTACGAGAAATGAAAAAAAGTCTCTCGTCGAGCACTCTTACCGGTCTCGTTGAGCACGCTATCCAGGCCCGACTGCCTCAGGTACTTGGCCATGGCGAAGAGTCCCTCGCGCCTCAGCAGCGTGCTCAGGCTCTCCTTGGAGTTGGCGTAGCTCGCCTGGGGCGTGGTGGTGCCCGCGCTCGTGCTCGGATAGAGCGGGGTGATGCGCGTCGACGGCACCTGCGGCGTCGGTCTCGGTCCCGTGCTCGCTCCATTGAAATCGACGCTGTAGGTACTTCCTCCGGCCGTCGACGCCGATCCGTAGCTGGGGGTCGTGGAGGGGCCGATCTCGTTGCTGCTCGCGTCGAAGCTCGACGAGTACTGGGCCGTGGTCTGAGAGCTGCTGCTGGGATGATGATACTTGACGGTGAGGGCGGGCTTGGCCGTGGTGCCGATGGAGTTGAACACGTGGCCGGATATGGACGAGGCCGAGGTCACGTACTTGTCGTTGGTCGACACGGAGTTGGGCGACACCGACACGTAGGGACTACGCGTCACCGTTGCGGTGGTCGTCGTCCTCGCCGTCGTCGGGATCGTCGGACGGAACGTCGTCGGCTGATTGTTACTGCTCTTCAGGTACTTGCTCGACGTCTTGGTCGTCGACGTGGTCGACGAGGGATATCTCGTACTGCTGCTGCTACTCGTGCTACTGGTACTCGGGGGCGGCAGTTTGAGCTCGCCCTTCTTGATGCGCTCGACGATCGAGTCCACGTCCACGTTGGAATCTTTGTCGGCGTTACCCTTGACGCCCTGCACCTTGTAGCTGCCGTCCGGCTGCTCCTCCAGCACCACGAAGGTCACCTTCTTGGCCGGCTGACTCTGGAATCTGTCCTTGTTGCCGAGGACGTCGAGCTTGCCGTCCGTGTTCTGTCGCAACACCTCGAAATCGGCGCCAGCCGGTACGATGCCGCCCTTGGTCAGCTCGTCGAACAGCGCCTTGGGTGGCTTGATGGTCGTCGCTTCTTGGTTACCTAGAATGCCGTTGGGCCCGGCCTGGATCACCTGGAGCTTCTTGCCGTTGGGCAGAACGATGTCGCGGGTGGTGACGTTGCGCTGCTGAGTGTCCTCGATGCCCGTCGACTGCGACAGGGCGAGCTTCAGCTGCTTGAGCAGGCTGTCCTTCTCGCCTCCACCACTACTGGATGATGATTTGCCTTTGCTGCTGCTGCTCGAGGTCTGGGGCTTCTCCGTCTGGTAGATGAACTTGATCTGGGGCTTGGGCTTGCCCGCCGCGACGGCGGCGTTCTGCTGCTGCTGTATCAGGGCCAGCAGATCCTTGGGTATGTTGTTGGCCTGGTCGTCCTGGATGCGCTCCTGGCGTACGCCGGACTTGCTCGACTTGGCGTTGGGGCTCGTCGTCGTGGTCGTGGTCGTGGTCGTGAACTTCTTCTGGTGCGTCGCGATGGCCCTCAAGAATATGTCGTTCTCCGAGGCGGTGATCTTCCTCGCCGACGTGGGCGAGGGCAGGAGAATCGACGACGAGGTCACCGAAGAGGGCAGGGGCGAACTAGTAGTCGTACTCGTGGTGGTCGGCAAGAGGGTAGTCCTCAGCTGAAGCTGCTGCAGCCTCAGCAACTCCTGCTGTCGCCTCAGCTCCTGCTGTTCCAGCAGCAGCTGCTCCCTCTGACGCTGGAGTATCTCGAGCTGGCGCTGCTTCTCGTAGTACTCCTGCAGCTGCTGGTTCTGCTGCTCGTTGAAGAAGGGCGTGGAGAAGTCGCCGGGCAGATTGGGCAGCGGTATCGGCGGCAGAGTCTGATACGTGCTCTGCCTGAAGAAGGCGTTCTTCAGCTCGCTCGGCTGTTGCTGTTGCTGTAGCTGCTGCTGTTGCTGATGCTGATTGAAATTATTCGTGTAATCCGGGAAGTGCTGATTCAGCTGGGTGTTGAGCTGCTGCTGCTGCTGTTGGATACGATTCTGCAGGCTCTGCAGCTGCTGCTGTATCTGCTGGGTCTGCTTCTTGCGGTCGACCTTGTAGCGGGCCAGGGCCGAGTAGGGCGTGCTGTTCTCCGCCACCTGCAGACCGGGTATCTGAGTCGTCGCGTAGGATTCCGGCGGCTCGACGTAGTGCTCGCGATGCTGCTGCACGTCGCTCAGTATCTGGGTCTGCTGCGAGACGGACAGCCTCGGCCTCGGGTCGCTCGGCGAGCGAGTCTGAAACTGCAACAGAGAGCGAGGAGAAAGTTTAGTCAGACATCTTTTGTAGCCGAGAATTATGCACGATAAATAATAAATTACTTTTCAAGCGATACAGATGCGTAAACTAAAACGAACGCGTTATCCGATAATTCGATCGATTCGCCTTCGAAAGAGTTTCGAGCAATTATTTTTCGCGGTGTTTTAAATAGAAAAAGATTCTTTGCGGGTTTTCGCGCGCTTCAAATGGCCATTTCGTAACTCTATCCGCGCTCGTGTTTTGCAGCAGGAAGAAAGTGTGCATAGGCCTTTAAACCGACGTCCGCAAGATTCATCGACGCGCGAGCGCTATTTTACCGCGCGCGTGTACGCGCGTTACAATGATATTTAGCTCGGCCCGCGCCACCGCAGACTGTGAGGCCCGTTTATATGTATACGCGTGCGAGCGCACTTGGACGAGGGAGAGAGAGAGAGAAAAAAAGATTTATTTAGTTTTAGAAAATTGCTCGGCCGAGTGCGCAATTTATATTTATACACACGTGCGGGTGGAGCTTGAAAATATATAACACCGTGTGTATCGCTACTTCCTCTTTGTTACAGCATCTCGGCGCGCGCGAGTATCGTATTCATACATTCAAATATTATACCGCGGGTCGCGCACTACAATGCGTGTTTTGCTTTTTTGCATTCCAGCTGCTCATATACAGATCTGTAGGTATATAATGTACGAACGCGTTGTGTCTCTCAGTTTCTCCGTGTATATAGAAGAGGCTTTACGTAATTGATCGTTATATTCGAGCGCTGCAATTACAATGTATCCGTGCGATATAAGTGACGAAAAATCGTCCGGAGCAAACTACTCGATACGATACGTATATGTACAGAAGCGCATTATAGAAACGAGTAGCAGTAGCAGCTATATATACGCTAGCGATATAGAAAGTTTCATCGTCCTGTTTGTTCTCCTTGTACACACAGACATACATACATAGGCACAGCTCGCGCCCATTATATACATTGCGGTGAACATCAGCATTTCTTTCAACAATACTGTAGCGGAAAATGTCGAAAGAAGACGCACACACAGGAAGCCCCTAACTGCGTGCGCGTACATATATGCATACATGGTATAGGCTACTGATTCGCGATCGAGACAAACTCGCGAAAAAAAATCAAGAGCCTCCTTATACCTACTATAAGTGTGCCGTAATTCGATTTTTGTGTTGTACCACGCGCGTGACGCAATTCGAGGAGCCTATCTGTTGCACGCATTCGATAATTTGGAATTGAACGCCGCGAGTAAGAGCAAGTTGAAAAAAAAAAGAAATCGTGTTGCTCTCCTCGCTTTTTTCGCTCCTCTTTTTTTCCTTATGCTCTTTTTTTTCTCTTTTCTTTTCTCGCGCACGTACGCGCGAGAGAAAACTGATGCGTTATTTATATCACTATTCAGAGCATATAATTGAGGCGCGCGCGCTTTGATTTCGATGAGCGATTGCGTAGTACTAGTTGGTAGCATAAGACAAATTATAATTTCGTTCATGCAGATGCAACTAGACGCGCGCGCGATGGAAGATTCGAGAGAGAGAGGCGCGTCGGCGGCGGCTAATTCCTTTTTACGCTGAGTGCGAGAGAGGGACGAGAGACAGACAGATACAAGCGTGATTCTTCACGCACACTGTATGTATGCACGTTTTGCAGCTCGACGCGGATTGATTGATGCGTTGCGCGCGGTAGCTGCGAAAAATTTACCGCTTGCCTAATTTATTTCCTTCTCTCGTCGCGATCTTTTCCTTTCCATTTACACATACTGGCGAAAAGTTCGAACGGGCTTTATTTCTTCTAGTTAAACGACGACGATTTTTTTTTACGTTATTCAATTCGTGCGTACATTTGAAAAGTGAAATTGTCGACTTGATTGAATTTTTGAATTACAATTCAGTAACATTATCGTTAACTGAACTTGGATATTTTAACAATATTTACACAACACATAAGCAATGTCGTTAATATGACATCGTTTAAAATCGTATTTTGACTTATACAATTATGTCGACTTTATCACTTGCAGATTTACAGACAGAGTCACTCGCCATCTAGCGGATGAGGCTCAAAGTGATTTCATCGTATTTATTGTTATCCTTCGCAGAGATTATTAATTTTCGTGCATTTCGATTGCGAATGTCGATAAAGAAATAATTAGTTCAATTAATTTTTCTCCTAGCTAGTGACATCGTTTAAAATCGTATCTTGACATATAAAATTAATTTGACTTTACTGCTTGCGAATTCACAGACAAAGTGACTCGCCATCTAACGATTGAGGCTGGCTTTACTTATGATTGAATCTTTATACAATTTTTGAGTAATTTCGATCAAAATTTTTCAAACTGAGAATAACATCAAATATATTTTGTCAACTTTAACAGTTAACACTTGGACATTATTTATATGACTTTACTTTGGTATACCCTGTTTTGACTTATACAATCATTTTGACTTTGCCCCTTGCAAGTTTACAGATAAAGATACTCGCCACCTACTGGTGGAAATAAAAATGAGTATCATTGTACCGATTCAAACCGGTTTAAATATTTGAAATGAATAAATTATCATTCTCAGATCATTTAAAATGCACTTAATATTTATGAAAAAATTGCAACAAAAAGCGTCCGAAACAATTGGAGGGTGGTTATTGACCTTGAATAAAAAAATTTCTAGTGGATAAAAATAATATGATAATAGTTCTGTCGCAGGTCGAATTATTGATCTTATGATAAGATAACAAGAAAGCTATGTTTCGTCATTTTGGATGATGAATAATTTAATCATAATAATCAATCAGTAGGGATGCTTATTATTCTGATAAATTACTTCAGCTGCCCTTTGCCAAAAATTTAAAGTTGAGCAAAACGCATGAAATCTAAGTCAACTTCAAATGTATAAATTCGTTTTCATATGACCCAGCGATACATTTGTTCTTCTATAGCTTCTTATTGATTTTGAAAGTAACTTATATATTTTTTCTGCATTGGCGGCGCACACGTGTTCGCGTATGTACATAACGTCTACGAAGGAAAATTTATAAGAACGTAAGAATTATCCCAAACGGCGTTAAAATGTATTAAAATCCGGATCGCGTACTATATTATATATGCATACAAACACATTTGCACGCGATTAGCAGTAGCCGGAGTTAGATAACTTGGATTTAACTCAAAAATTATATCGCAGTGGAACATTTATACACACACACACACACGAATTTTGCGCGAACGTAATATCGTGTATAATTTACAGAGACTACTTAAAAGTAATAAGCGATTCGCACGGAGCAGTAGTAGCAGGCAGTACATTATCCCACCTGTATATAACATCGGCTAAATTTGCGTACACACATACCGGTATATAAAACGCGCGTAATTAATTTTTTCTCTCTCTCTCCCTCTTTTTCATATTTTCGTAAATCCTTGCACGCGTTATACCCAAGCTGAGAAAAAATTGTATTTATCACTCGCCGCCGTTTTACGTAATATAATATAACCGAGTCGTTGTCGCGCGCCGAATAAAATCGCTATCGATAATCGAGGAAAGAGTATAACTTAATTTTTTTTTATTCGTTCGTTTCGCTTTGTGTTAGACTCGCACTGCCGGAAGGACCATCGATTATATTCGTGTATCATAGTCGCTGCTGCACACACAATTGAATATACCTCTGTGTGTATAATCGTGTCGCGCGTGACTCTCGTTACACACTACGCCACATTATACTCTCTTTTTCTCGTAAAACGGCTAGAGAGAGAGAGAGAGAGAGAGATATTCTCATATCCTTCCTCTTTCCTCGCTTTTCTTTTCAATCATTTTTCCCCCTTACATCTCTGTCTCTGTCTCTGTCTCTCTCTCTTTCGAGACAAAAAAGCGTGACAGCAATTCTCTTTCTTGCTCGCGCGCGCTCATTGACATTTCCCATAGCGATATATCGAGTATAGTCGAGAGAGAGAGACTTTTGTGTCGCACGCGCGCGCACATAGCAGCGATTCCTTTTCATTTGCATTCATTACGATTTTCCTTACTTTTTTTTTTCATTTCATCTCTCTCTCTCTCTCTCTCTCTCTCTCGCTCTTACTCTCGTACGCGGAAAGAAAAGTAAAAATGTATTAGCAGGAAGCTTTTCACTCGTCGGAGATCGTCGGACGTCGTCGTCGGTCCGACGAGGTTAATATTATCGTCTTGTAATATAGAAAGTGCAGCCTTTAAAGCTCGAGACTGCGAATCGATGATATTTATTAGCTCGGGATATAAACGCATTATAAAGACGCTTGTGTGCGTACGTACGTATGCGCGGCCTATACTAATCGAGGAAGGCGAGCACCGACGCGTTGATCGACGGTTCGTAAGTTCGTCGACCGGTTCTCACGCGCGCGTCGGGAGAAATTGCGCGCATTTTTAAAACGCATCTCGCGCGCGCTATGCAGCGTTACGACACATATATATAAAGAGGATCGGGGCACGCACATCTCGAGCCTCTTACTTTTGCGCCTGTTCGATCCCCTTTTAAAATACATATATAGTCGTATTATTATATATATATATCGCGAGAGAGTCGCGGATTCCTTTTTTTTTCCCTCGAGTTGTTGCTTCCAAACGTCAATCCGCCACTGCTCTCCGAGAGACTGACTCGTAAAGCAGCGTGTAATATTGCTGCTGCATACTGTGTGTGTACTACGTTATATATACACACACGCGCGTAAATATAAATGTGTGCACGTACGTATGTGTAGGCTCGAAGAGTGAAAGGAAGATCGTATTTTGCTGCACACCACGGCAGCGGCGGCGGCCTGTGTATAATTAATGACATTTTTGCTTAGATCGAGGGAAACGCGCGAGCGAGCGAGTTACATATGTGCGCGCTACGTATATATAATACAGAGTGCTGCGCATACCCCCGCGTGTGTACTCCATTTCTCAGATTGATTTTACGTTTTATTTTCCTTCGCTTGTGCCTTTATAGACATACATAGCTGCATA